ACCGGTTATCTTGCCATTTGCAAAACAGATTTTCATTGCTTAGTTTTTCTCTTCAACATGATACAAGTCAGATACACTGCTCCGTTTTTTGAAAGAGAAAATGTTGTTCCAAAGGAAAAAAATGCTAGCTAGAAGGTGTAGGTCATACCGGTGCTGATCTCAGGGCCGGAGCGGACAGTGTCAGAAAAGAAGAGGTTGTAGCCATTGACTCTTTTGATCTTCTTGGCTGGTGGGCTGGTGACCAGTCTGGTCTGAGGAGAACTGGCAGTCTGGAGGGAGGGAGGGAGGGAGAGGGAGTAATAGCAAATAAAGAATAGTAAAATAATAAAACAGTCTGGACTTTTGCCTTTCATGTATGTTATCTGGAAGTGATACGAAAATATTGAACACTCAAATTTCTCACTATAATGGTTGTTAATACTAAAGTGTTCGTGCACATCAACATTGACTTGACCGGCAGCCGTGTCCATACATGACATGCCCTATACAGTGATAACTGATTAGCTACTAGATGTGGGAGGGACTCACCCCGATCAGCTCTATCTTTGGTCTCGGGAGAATCCCAGCCTTCTTCTTCCTCTTGACTGCCTCTGACCCTATCCAGTTCTACACACCAAAAAAAACATTATACAGTGGAACCTCGTTAATACAAACACTGTTAAAGCTAAATACCTGCTTAATACGAACCACTTTGAAATCCCCAGGCACTATAACACGAATACAACTATATAGCTACTGTTATAGTGAATATGATGGTCCCCTGGAGTTCATATTAACGAGGTTCGACTGAATCATATTTGTTTATTGTTGTCAGTGGGTTTAGTCAGCGTGTCGAAATGTGACTTCTGCATATTGAGGGGAACTAGGGGATTCTGAGGGCCCAGTTAATAGAGGGAGTACATCATTACCAAAAACTATTTGGGAAATTTGCTACATCACACATGTGTAGCAAAAGGTTACAGCTTCCCAAAATCACAAAAGGAATCTGGCAGTGGTCTAAAGTGTGTTTTATAAAAAGTTTGAGCACATCAAAAGACTGAGGCTGTGGTAAGGTAATTACTGATTAGTGCGACATGCAAGACATTGGCAGGCTTGCCAAGTGCAACGATGACCAGCACCATTTTTACCAGTACACACGGTTTCAGAATTACACCTCTTACACTTGTGTCTCCCCTCCCTCTCTCTCTCTTTCTCCCCCTTCACCTTCCTCACCTTCCTCCCCATCTCATTACCTTGACTCTTTCAACGGTGGTGCCTACTTCATTGGCACATCTCTGGACTATGTCTGTGTTGCGGCGATGGGTCGAGGTCATGCCACACTCGTCGAAATACTTGAGCAAGATCTGCCGCTGCTCTAGCGTGAATAGCTGGGGCTCTGGATGGTAACATAGGTCGGTGGTTGATAACGTATGGAGCGGAGGTGCGATAAAGATAGACAGTAAAAAGGTATTAGTAGTAATGAAAAATGTCAAGGTTGGTTGGGAACTTGGAAGTGGTATGTAGGTGGTTGATGATGTATAATTATGGAGGAGGATGGAGAGGTGGGACAGTGGGGAAGTGAATCCATGGTTGGAGAGGGAATAAAAAATGTTAGGTGAAGGCAATGGAACGCAAAATTACTTCTTCCGCTGATAAAAATGTTGAGGGATTTGGTATAATTATACACCTTTATGCACACACAGCAGTACAGAGATAAGGCAGCTGCCCGCCCAAAAGCCAACAATATGGCGGACGCACACACACCGGCCCCAACGCTTTTACAGCCCGATCGAAGGAGACGGACTCACTGGGCCGCGGAGTTCCACGCGACTCGAGCACTGAATTGTTGTCCATATCGCGCCTCTCGAAATATGGAGCCTCGTCCACTTCACCGCAATATTCTTGTATTTTTCCCGGCCTTCTTCTGCTACAAAAAAGCTTGAGTGGAAAATTTTACTTTTGTCCCCGATAAAAAGAACAAAAATATCGGTGTAATGAGCATGCGCGAATATTTGCAACTCAAAAAGAGGGGTGGGGCTGGTTAACTAGCTCAGCGAGCAATCATGGCACAGCAGTACACGGCAAAGAAGGGGATCTATTCTAAACGAACTGATCCTCTTATCGACTAGTCTAGGCTTTCCCGGATCGCTACTGGCGAGCAGATTACACTCTCAACACACGGAGACAGAAGAAGGTGAAGAGGAAGATGTCGCTGAAGTGAGCGAGAAGGCCATCATCAAACTGCTCGGCTCAGGCGCCCTCTTCAAAACACTCGAGAAGGTGTTCAACCGCTACTCTGCTTGGTACAACGTCAAATCTATCAGAAAAGCCATGCAGCACATCAGACACCGCACCCTGAGCTTTTCCGACGTCTCAGAGTGCAGGGTAGCCTTCGAGCTGTACTCGCAGGAAGACGGGAGTGGAATGCCGGCCGAGGTCTCTCGGGTACAGCTAGCCCTCAAGATGTTTGAAAGGGTTTGCTCCCCGTCGCGACTGCAGTTGGAGATCCAGAGATTCTCCGACGTTTCTGATGTGCCTTCCCGCCTCCAGCTCTACGAGTTTATGGACATTGTGGCTCTCTGCGAGAAGACGGAGGTGGAGGACGAGCGAAGACTGTCCGAATTGAGCCTGTCCGGAATAACGGTGTCCGGTGAATCCGGGACAAGCCTGATAAACGAGCCTGAGAGCGTGGCCGACTTTGACCAGATCCTAATGACACGAGACGACAAAGTGAGGGCCTACTTGGAAGACGACTACCAACGAACACTACACGGCAAGAAGAGATCAACCGATGGTCAGTCTCCACCAGCCCCCGGCCTCATGAAGGACCACATTGTACACACCGACTCGAGAAAGTCACTAGTCTCTCTGGGAGACCGTCAGTTGAGAGCAGTGAGTCCCTGCCTTGAGGAGTCACAACATCAACTCCACGGCTCTCGCTGTGGCTTCCACACTCTTCCCAGCGATCACTTCCTCCTCTCACTGCCAGGCTCGCCCCCAAAATCTCGACTATCCAATTCCCCATCCAAAACACCATCACCGTCTCACTCGCCACTATCACCAGTCGTGAAATCACACAGTTCCATACCAAAGCTCCATATTAGCAGTAGACTCAGAAGTAGGGATCCTCTCCTTACCCAGCAACATTCAGGAGAGGGTCCCAGACACTCAAAACCAGTCAGAGTCAGACTCAAGCACAAACCAAAAGCTATCAAACCTCTGTCCATCCATAAATCAAAAGGTGATACGGTGCCTACAAAAGAGAGCGAGAAACTGGAGGAAGAAATAAGTGACATCTGTGCAGACTCGGTTGTGAAAGCTAGGGAAACGCTTTGGTCATCTCTATCGGCTGTACCACCACCTCATCACCCCTCTCCAGAAAGTGGAGCCCCCAATGGACAAGCTAGTGCATCAGGTCAGAGAGCAGTTACTGTGCCAGCCATGGTGAGAAGACAGAGAATGTCTCGCGGTGGTCGAAGTAGTACCCACCACTACCACCTGCAACCGATTGTGTCTACCCGGGAGAGAGGGGACCAGCAGTTCCTCATTGACAGCTTGCTGTGGTCCTCACGACGATCCAAACAACACTATCAAGTCATAAACATTGAATAGCTTACCCATGCACTATAATAATAATTATATAAAACACGATGATGAAGTTTAGGCTAATGAACTTGCAGCTGTGTAACAAAAATGATGTCAACTGTTATAGCAGGGAAGCAAAGTGTTTGTCTTGTTCACTGCAGGTTTAGATCGAACATCATTCAAATGCATCGATCAGTAGAAGGGTATATATAACCTGGCACAATGATATGCAAGAAGCAACTGCATAAGTAAAGCAAATGGTGAATACAGTACATCGTTCATATAGCTCCATAATAGTCAATAGGTTCTATTTCCTGTGGAGTTTCTCTTGTTTCTGCAGTTTGAGAAGCATCTTTTGGACGTAGTACATGTCGTGGTCTCTGATCATGTTCTTCTCCATGACCAGCTCTGAGAACTCTGACTGAGCTGTCCAGAGGGCTCTGATGGGTCGACGTCTACAAACACCGCAACACCTGGGTGCATGGGGCAGGAGATTAAAATATTCACATGATCCGATCAAGCTCATAATATGGCACTATTCAAGCTCATAGTTTAACTCTATCTAGGACTTGTGGGGTGTTTCACAAGTCATGAAACTGTGATTAGGGTGTCCTGCACTAACTGACTGAATGTGTTCTCTACAAACACACACTTTACTCCTAACGAAAGTTATGTAAAAATGTTTCTAAAGAGTGCAACTGTGCATGAAGACTGTTGTTGAAGACATTTCCTTTACTTGACCCCAAACATTAAAAAGGGCCTATAAAACTTGCATATAGCAGCTGAGTGTCATACGTACCCTTCTGTGGGGGAGTCCCTGGTGATATGGATAATCTTCCCGGGGAGAAAGAGAGGCATTCTCTGTCTCACTTGCATGGCCTCTTTCCCCGTGACCCTATCATTCCTCTTCCCCGCCTTAACCCCCGCCACCTCGTCGTATATGTCCTCCACATTCTCATAGATATCCTCCACATCCTCATAGATATCCTCCTGTGGAGAGTGGGAGATTACATTGACCTACATGCAGTCTCAGTAAGTACACAGTTCAAGAAAACATTAAATGAGAGAGGAAAGGTTCTTAAAGTACATTCCAGAGCAAACTACATGTTGTATCAACCGTAATAGAATCATTAAGTCGGTAAGTGTGCATGCACGACTCAGCCCACCGGCTCCTTTTCTTCCCTTTCATGATTAACTAGCATGTTACTACATAATTATACTGCAGCAGTTAGCTACATTATCCAGGCATCGTGCAAACTGCGCTGCATGCTACATGCAACGTCAAAGAGCACCGAATCAAGTTTCCATTATTTAGTTGCTGCAACAGTTGAACTATGGTATATGCACCTCGAAGGAGTCACAATCAAAGTGTGTGTTGAGGAGAGGTTCCTTGAGGATGGCCATAGGTGAGCGAGAGGAGGCGCCGGACAAAGCGATCACGCGACGTCACGAGAAGGGTATGCCAGATCTGCCTCACCACTGACCACACAGTCCCAGCCACACTGGACGCCCACTCGACAGGAAAGATACGGTACTGGAATGTGGTCACGAAGAGAGAGCAAGGGTTGTATATTATAGCCTCATGAGCTATGTAGGGAGGTACTGGACTATTCTTGAAAACCGTTTAGGCCTTCTTCGTTAGTTCACATCCCATTCAGACAGGAAGATGAAAAAACCCATGGGGCAGGTTGAAACAACACAAGTTACAGCCCGTTTAGTCATGAATAGCGATCAATGATCAAACAATTGCTACATGTCCCTGTCAATACACATCCGCACATGTTTTCGATGGATTTGAAAAGGAGATCTGTATGTAATGCAGAGGCTGAGAGCAAGTGGCAGCAGTTGACTATCTCGCCACGCAGCGACTGATAAACAGCGGAAAATTTATTGCACTCTTACTTTGTGGAATCACGGCGGCTGGTGCTGATGTTGTGCACGAATCCTACAACTCACTAAGATGACATGCGGGCGAGGAGTTTTGCAAACTCAGCCTGATATGAGGACAAAAAGTACAGTCAAGATAGAGAATAAACAGTGGCTGTGTGAGTTGTTCTGTGTATAGGTCCATACCTGGAATGAAGTCATTTCCACCACACTGTCGTGATGTAGGATCGGAGTCCTGGGACCAGCTGTCATACTGGAATACACACAAATACAGCACCAGGATAATATGAGTGAGCACAACCATCTTAGACCGCCCGGCTCCTTTTCCTCTTCCACAGAAAGAAGCACAAGGACACGGGACAGGCTTTCTCAAAAAGCTAGGCACCCCACGCTACGTCTTGTAGACTGCCCTGCGTCAGAGCCTGCTTGCTACGCTTGTGACTTTGACGTTTGCCTTGCACTTTCTACGCGATACCTCAGTTTGCCTGACACAGGCTCTCACTGCAAGACACGAGCATTGCAGCTACTGTTAGCGCAGCGCGACAAATGCAGTAACAGTGAGAGTAACGTGTAGTGGAAAGTAGGAAATTATAGAAAAACTGTCTCAATGCAGTGGCAAATCTTGTCCCGTTGTAAATATCCACAAAACACTAACAAAAGTAGCTATCACAGTTGATCCTCAAATTGTCACAAAAATAGGCTTCAATACACACCACGCGAAGATTACCACGAGTAGTCCACCACGCGAGGGGAGTAGGCATAGCAGTGGAGGTTTGGTGGTGTTTCTTGAGTAGTATGGCCAGGAGACTGGCCACCCCAGCCCCTAGAGAGTGGCCCACCAGAACCAACCCATAGTCCTGTAGTGTAAATGTAAGGCAAGTGAAACTAAAGAGCTACTCTGGGCAGAAGTATCTAAGAGAGTGGCCCAGTAGCGTAATATACAACAAGGATTAGCATATATACTGTATACATAGCTCAGATCCCACTTTTAACAGAACCGCATCCCCCATTTTCCCATAACATAATACACACATGTGGCCCCATATTGAACTTGTTGTTATACTGAGTATACGTAGTCAGTTACATGTATAAATACCTGGTTTTCTTGAAATGCTCTTTCCAGTATTTTCTCACTCTCCAGTTTGACTTGTACTGCATGAGCAGACGCTATCATCCCCTACAACACACACACAGCGTACACACAGACACATACTGGGTATATATTTCATGGACATTACAGAACACAACCTTGTGTCCATAAAAGTGTCCAGCCTCTGATATGGCTAGTAGTGATGGCTGTGCACTCAGATCAGTCAGAGCATCCTGACAACAATAAATGTACAGTATAAGTGTTAAGAGCTCACTAGTGGACAAGTGCTGCCATGTACGTACCTTGATGCTGAAGGTACCCCTAATAACGACTACCACAGTCTTTTGAGAGTGATCCACCACCACATAGAATGCTGGACAAAAGACCTGTGGCCAGAGATTGTGGCAGCGCTAAATTTCCTTCCCGAAACAACATTCAGCTGCCATGCCCATTATACGGATTTCATGTCTCAACAACTTGGTACGAGGTACTTAGAAAGGCAAGGCAAGGCAAACAAGTCAACTACACCCAGGACATGACAACCTTTTGTGAGAAGCATTTAGCGTAAAGATGCGAATGATATTACCTGTGTATGTATCTTCTACACAGAGTAATACAGAATAGGAGCAACTTGAGCTGATTGTGAGTGGTGCATAAAGGAGACTTACTTCACTGGCAAATGAGACAAAGACGATATCAGTGTCGGTAACTCTGGTGAGACGTTTGAGATTGTCCAGGTTCCACCCCAGTGGATCACCTCTTGCCTTCAACACCGTCTCTCCCTTCTTCTTACCTACACCACTGAATGATCCGGAATGAACAGATAGACAACCAATATCAAACTTTTATCACCTCTATAAAGAAATTCGTATCGGCAGGCAAAGTGAATTAAACCTATTGGCAGTTTTTATCGAAAACCATGAGTCACCTGAAACAGTTTGAAGTCAAAACCTTGTTCAAGGTGTTGTAGCTATACACTCACTTGAGAGAACAAGCCGCATTTGGAAAATGTAGGTTCTGAGTGTAAGGCTATAGATTCAAAATACGTCGCATATTGCCCTGTCGCGCCGTGCTGCGTCGCGCTGTGCCGTGAAGATAGAAATGGATTCTACCCTTGCAATGCGGCGCGGCGGAGCAATGCGACATATTGTGAACCTAGCTTAACTCACCACATTCTGCCAAGGGACGTAGCTATGCCTCGTAGAGCATTGTTGTGGTAGTCAATCTTCCATCCATAGGCTGCAGTTGCATACCTGACGTAGTAGACCACTCTGTTGTACTGGGCACACACCGACTGGAGGAAAAGTGTATGTGTCCATACAGTAGGTTCCAAACATACAGTAGAAGTTCCAAAAATGTTCATGTTCAACAGTTTAATGCTGAGTATTTTTACTTTTCCTGCATGTATGTAGCAACGAGGATTGACACTCAGCATGTTAAATTATGAAGCATACAAGACTAAGGTTACGACATGTGGGTCTTCCATAGGAGATATTTACTGACTCTTGATAAAGAAGAAATGTGTGCATCACCAAAAATACGTGTGTGTGTGTGTGTGTGTTTACTCACAGTGCTATGAAAGTCAAGTGGTGAATGGAGGTCTTTATGAAGAGGGTCTTCAACCTGTCAGAATAATTTTTATATAAATTTCAACAGAGAAAATGTTCATACAAATATCATGTACAAAGCTTTTGCATCCATCCAAACGAATGGATGACACCCAAATAGTCATGTTGTTTCGTGAAGAGTTCCTGGCTAAACTGTGGCACAATGCAAAAACTGGTCTGACTTACACTGTGCTCTGCCTTTTGTTCCATGGCCATGAGAGCAATCCCAGCTGCAACATCCGACGGTACGTAGCCCCTGAAGTAGGTGAAGGAATCCGCCATGACTGTCCCGATCTCCACATACACGTTCCGTGTCCTTCCCCCGGTCTTATACAGCAACAGAGCCACTCCATTCTCCACTGCCACGCCCTGTCCCTACGTCTGTGCTTCGTCAACTCCTCGCTACTGAGTGCCAGTAGACCGTGGTTACTCACCGCACTCAGGTCTCGCCCGAGTCGTTTATGCCGGGCCGCGTCGCCAGACGGTGGCCCCACACACGGCAGGCGACAGACTGCGATTCGAACAAACACGTAGAGAGCCATTGCACTGCTGGTAAACAGGTTCCAGAAGAGGATCCCTCGAGCCAGAACCAGGATAGGGTGCGATTCTGGACAATCGATGGAGGGATCAAACGCCCACAGAACTCCGATAATGTCCCAGGCAAACTTCATGACGAATACTGTGGCCTCCACATAGAGGACAATATAGAGGTTTTTGCGGGGAGATGGATCGGCCATGGTCCCTCGGGCACTGATAAAGATGGCAGCGACTTCGATGAGGCACATGACAATGTGAACTGTGGTGAGGATGCACAGGTAGAACCTCAACAGCTTCTCATCCTCACACTTGTAGCTTCGGTCGTAGGTGTTTAGAACATAGCCAAACAAACAGAACCTGCAGCAAAATGACACTTATGTAAGTGAAAAAAGTAAGTATAATCTTTTTACAAGCAGATGGGCAAGCTTTATGAAGCTTCTTAGTGACATGGAGGAGAAAAGTTACCCCTGTAAGGTATACTGTACCAGATTAATCGGATGCAGAGTGAGATGATGTTGGGGAAGACAAGGTCGTCGCTGCCGATGCGCCACTTCCTACCGAACACTTCGAGCGCAGGCATGACAACCGAAGACTGTGATAGCTACTAATGGCCACGGTCAGCAGCTGCGGCCGCCTTGTTTGTCCAAAACAGCAGCGCAGTTCGTTGCCGTGACACGGCTGCCCTGGAAACAGCCGCGGGCCCTGCCCCAGGCTCAATTGTCTGCAATAATCGTCGTCTGACAGCTTCTCAACGTGCTGCTACCCTCGTGAACAGACCAGAGCCAGAGAGACATGGCCGAGGAGGCACCGAGGCAAGTTCAAGTAAGTTTGCCAGCAGCAGCGGGCTATATAGCTATATAGCGAGCCCAGCCCCCGCGCGCCAACTTTATGCGCATGCGCAATCCGCATGACGGATGGTCAGTGAGTGCATGCAGTGCAGGCGCAGTGACTTAATTAAAAATAGGGTGGCCTAAACTCTTCAAGAGAGTGAAAAAATGCATGCAGTGCTTGGGAGTGACTGTTCGTACTTTTAGCAAGAAAGCTAAGGAAAGGACAGACTAAGTGACCATTCTAGTGGAACAGAATCCTTTTTAATGTGTTAATAATTATAGTTGTTTTTCCCATGAGTGTGTTCGAACAAGAAATGAGCATGCTGGCTGTTTGTCCCCAGCATGGATAGGTATCGTAGGAGTCTGTGTGTCTCCTGTGTAATCCTTTGTGGTTCTTTTGTTTATTATATATACTGGCCCTGAACCTTCTTCTTTTTCCTGGCTTCAGTCCAATCTGCATCCTGTTTGTATTCACGTATAAAAGAAGCTGAGAGTATAGCAGTAGCTATAAAGTACAGTGCTCATTTGTTGCTACCACTGACAATGGCCAAGTGTTGTATCTTAGCAGTCTTATGTCTGGTGATAATTTCATGTGCTCAGCTTGGAGAGTCTCATAGAGATGGTGCGTTCATACGGTAGAGTCCCTTGCAATGCCACGGTATATACAGCTAATACTTGTTCATTTTTTGCACCTTGCAGTTGCAAGAGCCGTGTATTCGGCCCTACAGCCCACCTTGAATGACATAAAGGCTGACATTTCCTCTATGAGAAACGACATATCTTCCATGAAGGGTGAAATAGCTAAACCAAGCGAAAGAATAGATAGTCTTACTGCGGAAGTAGCATCCAGGAAAGAGGAACTTGATGAAACACAGGACTCAATGGATGACATTAAACAGTGTGATTGTAAGTGTGACGTCGATATATAACACAACAAAAGACTCGGAAATGACTGGTGAGAGTGGAAACTACACATGTGGAGGTACAAGTGGTTGGAGACGTGCAGTCTACTTAGACATGACAGACCCTAACACCTCATGTCCTTCTGGCTGGCAGCCCACTGGATACTCCAAGAGAACATGTGGCAGAGTTAACACCAGCAAGACTTCGTGTGACCCTGCCCTTTTCCCTGTCAGGGGAGGGCCATACAGTCAGGTGTGCGGTAGGATCAGGGCCTATCAGTGGGGGCTGCCAATCGCTTTCTGGTGGTTTGATCCCTTACTCCAACAATCAGTCACAATCGATGACGCTTACCTAAGTGGCGTGGCCGTAATGCACGGTAGTCCTCGGCAGCACATCTGGACATTTGCCGGTGGACCGTGGGAATCGTGGATAGACTTCGACACCCTATGTCCCTGTGATACGACGGTACCGTTAGCATCAACCGTTGTCGGAGAAGACTATTTCTGTGAGTCTGGTTTGGTGTGGTCCGAGGATGATACACCAACACACTCAAACGATGCTCTCTGGGATGGTAGAGACTGCCACACCAGCAGCACGTGTTGCTCTCTCCACGATCCACCCTACTTCACAAAGGTCCTCGGCCAGCAAACTAGCGATGATCTTGAAGTAAGGATCTGTCTCCACTCTGATAAAAGCCAAAGTGATATAGCAGATGAAGTGGTTGAGTTATTTGTTAAGTAGTATATACAATATGACACAAAAAGGACCATTATGCAAGTTTAAGAGAAGACTTTTGTGAATACACGTTACAATAATGCTGCATTTTGTACACAAAAATTATTATTGAAGCATTGGTGAGACCTATGTTAGTAGAATAGTTGTACATGTATAATGCCTGAGAACAGTGCACTGTCATTCCTTTACTAGCATCACAGGAAGTGTATTGGTCTCAGAAACTTTACCACAAGTAGCTAACGCCAATTGTGTAACCCTAAAACTCTAACTTTCACTGTGGGAAAGACCACAAGCCCTGGGTTAGCTACCCAGAAGAAGTGAATAGAGCTAGTGTGGGGATAGCTTGTGTGGGCAGAGCTAATCCCAATCAGCTACACCTCTAACACTGCACGTGCTTGCCTTATAACAGCTACATAGTTGGAGACAAAGGGGTTTTAAAAACACGAGTCAGGAAAGTTTTTCTGGAGGATAGTGACTGTTCTTGTTCCGATTGACGGTAACTGTTCTTTTCCATTATGCTCGCCTAAATGTACGTATGTACCTGTCATAGCTTGAAACGAACTACAAAGAGAACTGTAGCAAGCTACCATCTGGTGGGCTCTTTCATCATTGTCCAAATTCTCTTTCCTCTGAGCTAGTGGGTAGTTTGGAAACCAGATATATTTCCATGCCACAACTGCAAGGTATATATACCCTCGTAAAAGATTTCGTCACGCTTTCCACACGGAACAAAAAAACATTTGCGCATGCGCATACATCCACGCTCTTTCGTGCGCTCTATCCCGGTTATTTCACCAAGTCTAGTACGACTGTTGCTGAAGTTGGAAAGTTGCGGGCATCATGATGATTGCAGTTCGTATTACTGTTGTTGTGTTAGTGCTCATTTCAGCCTTTGGAGCCAATGGTAACAAAGTTCCGCAGACAACTAAACGTGGTGTAGATAGCTAGACACAATATTTTGCTTCTCTCAGCAACGCAATATACTAGCTGTTCGGAGAGTTCCCTTCAGCAGTGTGATCAGTGCGGCTATTACAGCTGCTGTAGTGAAATAATTTGCTGCTGCAGTAAGAAGCAATGTAAGGATTACTGCAATAATTGGCCAACCGATTGCGACTGGGAGTCATGTGATTGCAACTACAATTATGATTTAAACTCATGCAAAGACGGTCAGTATATACTTTGTCAGGTTGTGTTATGCATACTGCCATATTATTCATGTGTAATTGGCAGATAACAAAAAGCACTATTCTTTCGCCCACATGCAGAGATTGCTAGGATAGGTGGGGGAGTTGGTGGTGGTATAGTAGGCCTTGTTATCATTGTGGGTATTTGTCTTACTATCTATCACTATGGGAAACGCTATCGTAGTTGGAGAGCTGAAAATGTCCCACTTCTGTCTACTGCTGACACTCCTCCAGTAAATTCTACTGTACAGCCAGTAAGTACTCTTCCTAATACGCACTCTGAGTTTTTAAGCTTATCTATTCACGATGCTTTGCCTCAGAAAGGGGATGAGTCCAGTAAAGGTGGTCAGTTGCAGCCACCGCCATATCCTAATGTCCACCAATCTCATACATATCAATCCTTAGTTCACTGACAAGGAGAAAGAGAACAGAGACACTATACTGTTTATACTGGTATATACTTTTTGAGAGGTTTTGGTATTTCAATAACACGTGAATCAACAGAGGATGTGAGGAGAAAGCAGTTATTATAGCAAATTTTGCTTGCTTTCTTTGTACAGCCATAGTGGCAATAATATACGTAGCTACCAACACGGAAGAGAGACAAGGTAGTACTGTGTAGAAACGAGATTCAGCTAGAGAGTATTAACTTGATATATAGGAAGACATACGACAAAACTTCACTAGTCGCCTGATAAAGTGCAATGTTCGTTGCTCCTCTAAATTAGCTATTATGCTGCAAATTCCGTGGTCACGTGCGCCTATACTTCAGCCATCGCACCGTCTCGTCAGCGCGCATTGTAATGGCGGAACTCCCGGCATGCGACGGTATAGAGAATGACGCGGTTCATCTGAAGAGCACATTGCTGCACACCGGACGGTACGCCACTGTGAGAGAGGCCGACATCGCTGGAGCGAAATGCGCAGCCAAAATCTTCAATTTCAGTGACGGTGAACGCTCTCCCAGCAGGCAAGATGACGTGGTCTGTGGATGCAAGGTATTAGACACACTACGACACCCGAACCTCGTGTCGTTCCTTGGGATTACCCAATCCCCTGACTCTGTACTCCCTGTCCTACTCGTGGAGTATTTACCCACCACCTTACACCGCTTCCTGTCACCAGCAAAGGCTGAGCAATCAATTCCACTAGGCTTGAAAATCTCCATCCTCCAAAACGTGGCTTGTGGCCTGGCGTACCTGCACATCCAGTCACCGCCAATCCTTCATGGTCACTTGTCTGCAAAGAAAGTCCTCCTTACTTCAGGAGCAGTGGCCAAGATATCGGTGGATGTAGGGGTCACCGTATTACCACAGCCTCTTCAAACATCGCCATACATGCCACCAGAAATCACAGGGGCACAGTCTCCATGCACAGCGGCTGTCGATATCTTCTCCTTTGGCGTTCTTTCCCTCTTTACCCTCACCCAGGACCCTCCAAACAACATCCTCCCGCAAACATACACAAATGAATCGAAACAGCTCATATGTCGCAGCGAAATTGAGCGTCGCTCCCAGAGCATGGAGAAAATCTTCCGTGAGCTTGGGAAGGAGCATCCTCTGGGGAAACTGATCACCAGTTGCCTCAATCAACAACCAGCCTCGCGACTAACTGCTGCCAATCTGGTGGAAACTCATTCTCTCTTGTGGCAGGCAGCAGTGTTGATCCCAGATCCATTCCAAGAGAAAACCAAGGTGGACCTGGTACACCACACCCACAACCTTGCATGTGCACACGTGAGAATGAGGAGAGAATTGGAGAGTCACGATTGCGAACAGAGGGACCAAATTAGGGGTTTATTACAGGGAATGGCCCGACAGAGAGAGATGCTGCCTACTGAGGATGGCGAGGAAGAAGACAAGGAGATGGTGAGCGAACAAGAGATTGCCTACATAGCAAACTTTGTGGAGGGGATCCAAGCTGACAAGCTCGGTCGAGAGCTCGGCATGTGTGAATCTACACTTGAAATCATCAACTGCGAATCTGCCAACAGATGTGACGAGAACAGAAAAAGGGCAAACGTTCTGAGGCAGTGGCTCAGGAACACCAGTTCACCCACATGGGAAGCTCTGGTTAAGGCACTGGGTTCAATTGGCCAGAAAAGAGTTGCAGACATACTCAGGAATGATAAAGGTTTGAGTGCTAATTACTTAAATGTGCACTTGCATGGCCTAGCATGAAACCAGGTTTTTACTAGAGCTTCTAGATTGCATTCCTCCCTTGCCCACTAACAGCCAGTATTCTTAGTCTGTCAAGGACTATGTACACAGTGAAAGACATCTTATCAGTTCCCAGCAAAAACATATGTTCAACTGGCCCTTTAGGTCTGCAGTACTGCACTACCATAACTGAGCGGGAGAGTAAACAGAGTCAAGCGGAACAGAGGAAGGTGGGCAGTGTGTATGCATGACCTCATGCATTTGTTTTGGTTCCTCCACTCTTTCTCTAGTTCTTTGCACACACCATTTTTCAGGATAGACTAATGCTCTTGCTTCCATAATGCTTGAATGTTGTAGACTTAACCACAAAAGCTCAGTATAATATAATAGTTACGGGTCCAACCTTAATTGTCTCGTGAACATTTTTACCCCAGCTTCACTTACTTCACTTACTTTATCCCACGTTCATTGGCTCTATAATTGTAGGTGGAGGCAAAGTCTGCAGATGACGGTAAGGCGGCAGCAGAGCTGAAATCCCAGCTGGAGAAGGCTAGAAAGAGTCTGGAAATAGCCCGGTCTAGTCTCTCCGAGGCCAACAGAGAGCTGGAGGAGGCCAACAAGAAATGCGACAAGCTTCAAGAGACAGTTTCCAACATGGAGCAAGAGATGAGGGGTCTCAGATACGAGCTCAAAGGTGAAGAGCTATTCAGAAAGGAGTTGGCTGATGAGAACCTCCAACTAAAGCTCGAAGTGGAACGCTTGAAAAGAAAGTAGATTACTTCTTTATTATTATACATAGCAAATGTTTTTGTTATTAGTTCTTATAAATTCCACAACTCTTGTTGTATGAGATGTACTAAACAATTTGTTCAAGTCCAATATTCTAATGCATGCAGTTGTGTATCGTTACATAATCAGTTCAATACATACCTGCAGAAACAAACAGAGCATGTTAGCAGTATGTGACTGTAATACTGAGAAGCTTACTTTGTGACTGTAGCAGTCCTCCCCCTCTCCTTCCCAAACACCTATATACATCACGGGACATAGTGAAGGGCTAAATGTATATACTGTTACTAAAAACAGAAACTTAATTGAATTCTTGTACTGGGCCCTATTGTTTTGTTCTATCTTTAGTAACATTTCTATACTTCTAAGATTAGCTCTTAACATACTGACACGTTCCCTTTAATGACTGACAATGGCCAGAGAGCGTGCAATGGCCCACCAGTAGAACGATGGAGAAGTTTCTGATGATGGTGACGCTCTTCTTGTTTTTCACGGTGACCTGAACGTACCGCCCCTTGTTGGGGACACTCTCAAACAGAACCGTGCCATCTGGTGACTCCTTCAGATAGAAATCATTGTCCAAATTCTCCTCTCCCTATATATGTGGTGGTGGGTGACACAGTGAGTAACCCCCGTCAATTTTTGCTTTTGTGACTGCGACTCAACATAATTATCAGTTTTGATTGTTAGCATTGCTAGGGTTGCCTTACTCTGAGGTACATACAGACAGACAGACGGACTGATACATACCAACCAAGTAGCTACCATAATCCTCGCTGCATGCACATGTAAAATGACAACTCACTTACATACTATACAGAAAGGAGTAAGAATGGTGCATGAGGGGTTAACTGCCGTCTAGTACTTGCCTGGCAGATGAGGTTTCCGTTAAACCTCATCTTGAGTTTGAGGAGGGGAGGAGCATAGCTCTGCAGCGAGACTCTGCCCAGACCTCGATCACAGTACACCATGAAAGCTGCATAATATACACACAAAGTATAGCTCCGAAAGTATAAAATAAAACAGTGCAAAAATTTTTTTATGCTGCATGTGTCAACAACAAGGTAACGAGGTAGAAAGGCAAGGCAAAGCAAAAGTATACCACAAAAACGAAAACAGTGTCGCTATGGATTTGTTAAGTGACAAAAAGTGATTGTGTTTCTACGCGCTGAAGCGCAAAGCAAGCAAGTGACACGGTGCAAAAGTATTAGAGCTCCAGGTGGACTTACTCTTGTCGTTGTCAGCGTTTGTCGTTCCCACTACATCTCCATTGACCCTCAGACCGAGGTAGATGCCAGTAGCCTTGGAGTACAACTGAACAACACTCCTGTCCTTCAGCTGGTTCTGCAGCAGTCAGAGAAACAAGTCGTGTGTGTGCGTGCAGGCATATGGGTGTATGTGTGCGCGTACGTGAAACTGTGATCTGTAGGTGTATAATAATTGTGTAGAACTTACGACAATAGAAGGTCTCCGATGAGGGCACAAGATTTGTGTGGTGTAAGGTCCAACAAACCTCTGTAAGTGAGAACCAATGGAATCTCACGTAGCAACCACGGTTTTCAGTATAATATACTTTGCAAAGGTATGCAGGTCTGCTGAAATCTCACCTGTATTCGTACTATAAAGTGGACATCGCTGAAGTCTGGTGGCATCTCTTGCACCGAGAGGTGAGCATTCTGGTCCACGGTCAGAAACGACTTGAGGAACTTGCGAGACTCAAAGGTGACCTTTGTGTCCTTGTACGGCCGAATTATGAACTCAAATGCAGGGTCCCCCACCTTATATGGTGTGTTCTAGACAAACAAGAGGATGTTGGAACTAAGATAAGAGTTTTAGAGTTAGATGCACACAAATCTCCATCACTGGCTCAGTGGATGCTATACTAGTGGTGGGGGATGCACCGCTGCGTTGTTTGTGCCATTATGCCCCTGAAATTCCAAATTGAGTTGCAAAACTCGGCAAAAGTACCCAATGAGGTATACACAAGGCAGCTTAACAAAAAGGTGATGGGGGGGGGCAATTGTCTACATTGGGAGTGCATGAAAGGTGACACTTGTTTGGCCTTTAGAGCTGTTAGCTGAGGGAGCAAACCTTGATAGACACGGCTCTGCGGTCGTCGACCATTAGCCTCCCTCTGTTGGGAATCCTCAGAGTCACTATAAACGGAGCTGCCACCTCTGACATCAGCCCACCTGTTCTCGTAATACATTAATGCATCAAAGAAATAATGTATAAAGCAGAATCTATGAAGAAATGTGTGTAAGTATAACTCTTTCAGGAATTTTGTTTGTGAATGGCAAGTATGTACAGCCATTGAACCTTATCACTGT